TCGTGGCAGTTATTAACCTTTGTCATTCCAGCTTTGGCAGTTCTCTCTCAGCTCTCCAATATTTCTCTCCAGTTTATTTAAACCTCCACAATGTGACAGAGCTGTTCACTCCCTGCTGAGGCTGCAGTGAGCTGACAATTGTGAATCTGTGTGTGGCTGGGGCTTGCAGGGGCTCTGGGTGCTGCGGGGTCTGTGCTCGGCGTGTGGAGGCTGCTCTGCACTCAGGGTGTAACCCCAGTGGCAGCGTGCTCAGCTGGCAGCACACTGCAGCTTTCCTGCCACCACAACCAACACCTGGGGCTTGCCAGTCTCTGGAGAAAGAACAGGGAGAGCTGGAGGTCCAGGCTTCCCAGTCCTGCCTGGGGAATGACAAGACAAGGCTGGGCTCCTGTGTCCAGCACTCCCTGCCATGCACCCAGCCTGGTGTTCCATCAGAGAGCCCAGCAAAAACAGCTGCTGTGGCTTTCCCCACGCAGACATGGCAGGAAGGAAAGTCCTCTGTGTTCCCAGCAGCCTTCTGGCCTGCACACACCCCTGCCTTGTCTTCCTCCAGGGCTGATCTAGCTGCCAGCTTTACAAACTGCTCACAAAGGGTCACATTTTTGGATTTGCCCAGATTTTGCTGTCTCCATTTTTGGAAACGCTAATTGAGAAATGTTTGTAGTTATCTGGAAGTTCTTAAAAATTTGGAATGCCAGAAATTCACCTCCTAGTGATGGAAGAGTTGGGTGCCCTAAAATCTGAGCTCTTCAGCTGGGGCTTGTTCCTCCCTGCCCACGCTGCAGGGGTACAGCGTGTTCTGGAGCTTTGCAGGAGCAGTACTTCTGTAATCAGCACGATGAGGAGATGATTAAGCCTTGAGAGGTTATAAGAGTTATGTTGGAAATGCAGAAAATGTATTGTGAATATAAGTTTGTGTTTGTGGACACCAAGAGTTTTTCAGGGCAATCAATTTTTGATTTACAGTTAAGACATTGGCAGCGACTACACAGGAGAACCTTCAGCTCTCAGCATCTGTCAGGAAAATACCTCATGTTTTTAAATTGATTCACGTAATGGGATTTGTTGTGACCTTAGAGAAACAGAATGGAAAAAGTCCTCCAAAGTAAAGCCTCCTGCATCCTCAGAACCTGTTCCATGTGTGAGCACTGCACTGATCCCAGGCTCCTGGGAAGCTGGGGAGGTGCTTCCACATTGAGTGAGTGGAACTCTGGCTGTACTTTGTCTTTCTGTCCCAAGGTTTTACTGCAGTGCTCAGTAACTAAGGAGGCAAACTGCATGTGAAGAGTGTAATTTCAGAGGCAGCACAAGGCTTTTGCCCTGGAGTCTTTAGCAAAGAGATCTTCTTCCTTTGTATTTCTGACTGAGGCTGTTTTGACAGAAGAATAGCTGACTCTCTGTATTTTCTCTGTGTTTAGCAGCATGTATTTTATGTGCTTGCATTGCAAAACTATAAACCCCAGAACAAACAGACGACAAATTCCAGAGTGTGTTTGAAGTTGTCTGGTTTCAGCAGTGTCTGTACCCACAGAGAGAGCAACACCTCCCAGTCCCTGAGCCATGAGCATCCTCTGGGAGGGGAAGAGCCCTTTCCCTTCCCCTTCCCCACAGGTAACTGCAGATGTCAGCCAGTGAGGCTGGGCTGTATTGATTTTGGTAATTGTCTGCTGTAGATCAGAAAAGCTACAATGTCCTGAGGGTACAGCAAGCAGGTTTGTGAGGTTTTTTCCCACTGTGAGCCTACCCAAAGGACATAGATTTTTGTTGTTGCTCTCCATACAAGGAAAGATTGTCTCTGCTGCATCAAAGCCCATAATTTAGGAAACTCTGATCTTATGTTGAGGGCTGCAGGCTTGGGCAGTTGCAGCAGTGTGACTCAATTGTCAGCGTCCCAGCACTGCCAGCAGCGCGAGGGGCCCTTCTCCCGAGAGCTGCCTTCGGGATAGCGCCTGAGGCAGTGCCCAGCTTGCGGCTGCAGGCACACCTTGGGCAGGACAGAGTCTGGTAAAGGCTGCAACCAGCGGAAAGAAGACGGCGGACTCCAACTATGGCTTAATCCAGGCTTTAATGAAACCCGGAAAGACTGACAGGAGGAGCCGGGGGGCGGGGGGGGGGGGGGGCTGACAGCAAGTTTTAAGGGGTAGGGAGAACAAGGGCGGTGCCGGGCATTGGGCCAATGGGGGTGCAGTGGGGAGTGGGGTCCAAGGGATTGACACGTAGGCAGCACCAACGGGAAACATTCTGGGGAGGGGCCCCGGTTCCTCAGCCAACCATCGAACTCCCCTGCTGGAACATTCTAGCAGTAAGGGCGGGCAGTGAGAGTGATTGGCGGGGTACCGGGGAGGGGCCCCTGTTCCTCAGCCAACCATCGAACTCCCCTGCTGGAACATTCTAGCAGTAAGGGCGGGCAGTGAGAGTGATTGGCAGGGTACTGGGGAGGGGCCCCGGCTCCTCAGCCAACCATCGAACTCCCCTGCTGGAACATTCTAGCAGTAAGGGCGGGGAGTGAGAGTGATTGGCGGGGCACTGGGGAGGGGTCAGAAGAGAAGATCCAAGGGTTTCCAGGGAAACCGGGGCGGAGTTTAGGGGATACATTGTTGGCTGGGGTGGAGCCAGGGAGACAGACAGCTCCAAAGGCGGGAAGGGAGAACTGGGGCAGAACCGTTTTCAGACAGAAGGGGATTGGAACAAACCAACCTAATAACTTAACAAAACACACTGCAACAGGCAGTGCCCCAGCACCCTCTTGACTCTTTCTAATTTAATTACCCCCAGTGCCAGGTAGCCATCCGTGTTTTATTTATGGATTGAATTTGTGACATCGCCTACCAGATGTTTAGTGATTTTCTGCATATTAAATTATCCATTTAAAGGAAGGAGGAAACCAGATTTTGAGCATTGGTGGAGTTAATCTGACTTTTAAACTGAAGGTTGCACCAACTGAATTTTAGGGAAAAGGGGAAAAGCAAGAGAACTGATGGCCCAACTCTATTTTTAGTGGTTGCATGAACCACCTCTACTCTGAATTAACCACTTCACTAAATTTCAGTTAGATGATGTGAATGGTGACTGTTGAGATAAATATCCTGGAAAGAAAGCAATACAGAATAGTAATTAGTGACAGGAAGTTCCCTTTTTCATGACAGCAGACAAAATCCAACAACTCAATTCTCTCTTGGTATTCGTCTTGGTTTAATGTGAGATAGACACAGGTTTCTTCAGTGCCACATTTTTGGTATCTGATTTAGAGTTCTGAAAAAGTGAGGGTTCTATTGATTGATTATTTATGAATAAACTTTGAATTATGATATGCATGAAAGCATTTTGGGCCTTTTTTTCTGTTAGTAGTCAGAATGTGATATGTCTAGGTCCTTCTCCATTCTGTGGGTATAAATGAAAAGCTCTATCAACATAAACTGATTTAAGCTTAGTAGCAAGCATGACTCCAAAACTTCATAGCAACAGAACTCACAACTGGTGCATCCTGATATAATGTGATTGAAGCTGATGCTGTTGTACCTGTTTGTGCCACAGTACATTTATTTTTATAGCTGCCTTTCCATGGAGACAGGCCCCAGCTGTTGGTGGGCAGTGTGGTGCCAAGCTGTGCCAGCTGCAGCCCCTCAGAGGGTTCCAGCAGTGCTGCAGGTGCTGCTCTGTGCCTCGGCAGAGGCCCCGCAGGCAGAGCTGGCAGTGCCTGCGGCTCGCAGCCCCTCGGGGAGGCAGGGGGAGGCTCCCACATCATGCAGCAAAGCCAATTGTCCTTCCTGCTCCTCTGACTCCCGACAGGATCACAAAGATGCTGGGAAGGGAGGGTTCCTGGGAATGGGGGGGCTTTGATTTTTTGTGTCATTCAGGTGAGGCTGGAGCTGAGGCCCCAACAGCTTTTTCCTCATGTTGTTGTAGGCCGCTGGTCTTCTGTAAGTAGTAAACATCTTAAAAGTTTTTGGCTGCAGATGAGGCCAGTAATGCAAAATAAAGCTTTATCTGTTTCTTCCTGAAGTTTGCATATGAATTTCTGGCAGTGCAAAAATGCCTTTTCTTTGACTGGGATCTGCTGCTGTCAAGTGATTGTCCTTCCAAATGGCCTCCTCCTCTTGTACGTGCATTTTCACTGTCTTCATTTGTGAAATGTCCATGCACCTGCCTTCTAGCTTGCTTTACAGTGCTTCTGAGAAGGTATCCCTGGAGGACATTGCTTCTTTTCCTTTCTTTACTGGATTTGTTTTCCACTCCTATTCCACTCCTGTTTCCTGTATTCTTTAGAGAATGGGATTATCCCATTCTTCCATTTTTAGGTAGATAGGGTAAAAGGCTTAAACTTTTTCACAAGTTCTTTTCTTCCTGCTGTGCTCCAGATACACAAATAGTATGTTTCGAACTGTGAATCATAAAGAAATATTTTCTATCATATTTCAGTGGGATTTAGGTAGCTCTATGACATATGCTCAGTATATCAAGGACTTTGACACACTGGAGCATACCAAGGACTTTGTCTTATCAAGGACTTAACCTCCACCTTCACTGTTTATTTTTGGAAAGAGAAGTAAAACAAGGGTGTGTATGTAAAACTGGTGAACATTTTCAATCTCCTTCAGTATTTGAAATATACTAATTGTCTATTTTTGTTTCAATTTTAAGTTCTCTGTTGTAATTTCTGTTGGTTTTAGAGACCATTTTTTATCTGAAGATATTTATTGCCCATACCAAGAGCAAAGATATGAAGATATCAGGGCAAGACATTTTGTAGATTGGTTTCTCCTGCTCAGTATTTTTTAACAGCATCCCTTAAAATAGAAATGCAAAACTATGTGTCCTACTTTCCCCTCACTAAAATAGATGCCTTTTGTTAATTTTAGATACAGCAGAGCAGGATATGTAATTAATGATATCAAAGAATCCATATGATATTCAACAGGGTCCTAACATCAAGGACAAAAGAAGTCTGACAACAGCTGTCCCTAATGATTTGGTTTGTAAAATGTTGTCTTTTATTTCAGGAAGTTGGATGCTTTCATCTATGATGCAGCAGTGCTGAATTACAAGGCTGGAAGAGATGAAGGCTGCAAACTTGTCACAATAGGCAGTGGGTACATCTTTGCCACTACTGGCTATGGGATTGCTCTCCAGAAAGGATCACCTTGGAAGAGACAAATTGATCTCGCCCTCCTTCAGTTTGTGGGAGATGGTAGGGACCAAGCTTTTTCCTTTCCTTTCTTCCTCTGTGTATGCACAGTTAATTCAGTTTTAGTAGCTCTGAGCCTGCTCATACTGTTCTCTTGAAGTCTTTAAAATACAACAAAAAAGGTAAAACAGAGTAAAATTACTTCTTGGTGCTGAGACAGGAGTTCTCTTCCAATCACCTAACTCACCTCACCACCAAGGGCATCAGCCTCTATTTTCAGAAAGTATTTTCATGTACATCACAAAGCAAAGCTGGCCTAAGTGTTAGAGAGCATTTGTCCATTTATTTATTTCCTTTGTTTTTGTCTCTGAGCAATTCCTTAGTAGATAAGTTATCTTTCAGCATGACTGTTCTGCTATTAAAAAGTGTTTAGCTCAGTTCTGAGCTGATGTGAGTGATCCCTAATCCAGGACGGTCTCATTCAAACTTCTGGTGAAAGAATGCCTATGAAATTGAATTGGGGTGACTAATTCATTGTACTCATTGTACTTCAAACAAATATTTTTTATTCTAACATGAAATAGAAGAACTGTAGGTCCTCTTGGCACTTCTGCCCTGCAGTAGAAAACTTGCTGCACAGCTTTGATATATTTGAAAACAGCAATGATGACTCAGTCTCCACAGAGGGTATGAACTCCTTTTTGATTGTAGAAAGCTTCGTGTTTCACCTGTGGAAGCAAATAGAAATATGTTAATTAAAAGTTTTCTGTGGTGTGACTGATGAAATCCTCTATCAGATTGGAATATGGTGTGTATTATATAATCTTTATTTTGGTTTTTTACATAGATGTGTATGTTGACTCTGCATTTCTCTATCAGTGAAAGAGAGGGCTTTATGAAAAGATAAATATGGGTTTAATGTCACCAGTAAGAAGCAATTGAGGGTAAGAATGGTGAATTTCAGTGTAATAGCAATGGCAGAGAGCAGGACTTAGCATAGCGGCCTCCTGTTCCATAAACCACAGGACATTAATTTTCATGGGGCAGACAATGAGTGTGTAAGTCTTCCAGCACATGGATTTTACTCCTGTTATAACATTAAACAACTGAGGTGTCATCATCACAACTGATGCATTTTTTCTGGTGTATATATGGAAATAATAATGCTCTCATATCCCTCTGTTGGGTTTAGAGAAGCCATGGAAGAAACCTCTCTAACTTGGGAACTTGGGTGAAGGAATGCCTAGATGACCTGCAATGGCTGCCTTTCAAACATTCACATTTTCCTGAATATTATTTTCTGTTTGTGTAATACTGTTAAGAATTATTAGGTGCTAAAATGCAGAGCCACTTTTAAATGAGGAATTTGAATCAGAGAAGTTGAATTATTGTTCCCATACTAAAGAAGAAAAATCTCCTGTAGCCTGAGGGAGGATCTGAGTTGTGTTTCTCAGTGTGGGCTAACCCCTATGGATGTAGCCAGAGCAACACTTGGGTTTTCATTCCTTTCACTTTGCATTTCCTTCATTCTTACTCCTTCAGCATTTTTGATACATCTCATCCAACACAAAAAATTAAATCACAGAGAAAGAAAATAAATGAAATAGAAAGGGAAGCACTTGAAGCTATTTAAGAAAAATCTCATCCAAATACTGAAGGTGCTGCATTTTTATGCTTCACCTCAACTCTGAATATCAGGTACAAATCAAAGTTGGTGGGAGCAAAGTGTGAAAAGTCTTATCCTGTGTTTACACTTTGACCTGTAGACTTCCATGGCAGAGAAATCCTTATATCTTTAACCCATTTTTCGTTGCTTAAAATAATACAAATGAATTGTCCACAAAACTCAATATTAAAACTTACAGAGTAGCAATAGATAAAGGGAACACCCAGGTGAATGAAACCTCATGATGAAACATCTGTGCCCTGCTCAGAAGATAAGCAAACAAGTTAAATGCACAAACCATGGGAATTGTGACTAAATTTATGGCATTTTTTCATTACTATTAGAAGTTACTCTGAACAACCCAGGAATGCTAAAACATTACTTTTCTCTAGTGAAGGATCCCTACGTTTGTTCAGAAAATTGTGTGGGCTCTAGTAAAGAGAATAGTAGTTGGACATATAGGAAGTGTAGAAATTCTTGTAGGTATGTTTCTTTTAGTCCCAGAACTGTCTCACTTTGTCTCACAGTCTAGATGACCATTTTCAGGAAAAACAAACCCCAACCACCATTGGCTTTCCACCAAATGTGGGGAGAAAAAAAGCAAAAAAAAAATCAACAAAAAAGCCCTAATAATGAAATTTCTTCTACTGAGTTACAAAGTACATTGCAGGTGAACTGGAACTAAACACCAAGAAATTAAATGTAAAGAGTAATTGCCTGGAACTAGCTCGACCTGATTTTGTAATCCATGTCTAACTTCAGTAGTTCGATGGATAATCTTTTTAGCTGTGAACTTACATAACTCTGTTTTGGTGAGCTAGAAGGGATGAACCCAGAGTTCAGACCAACATCACTTTGCTGTATCACTAAAAATCTCTTTGAAGTTCTCCTAGACTAAAAGCAAGTATGGTTGGGGGGAAAGTTTCATCCTAAGAGAGTACTCCTGGGAAAGGCTCAGTGGAGCCTGAATGAGGTTGTTTAAATAAATAGGCAAACAAAAACGAAGGCAGAAATCTTATTTCACATGTATTGCTTCTGTAGAATATATTATTCTCAAAGACTAAGCTGTAAAACAGCAGAGCCCCAAGTAGGATTGAATTATTCTTCAGTATGTGTAATAGGGCATTCATCAGGGTATGGAATAATTTCAGTGAATGATTGTAAACCTAATGAGTTCCATAACTATAAGAAGAAAACATTCTAATGAGTTCAACAAACACAGTTTCTTTATATGAATAATATGTTAATAAGAGGAAAAACCTTGGATAAGACCAAGTAATTTGTGAAAAAGTATATCTGATTGCCTATACAAAAAGCCATGATCTCATTTCTTTTTTACATTTACCCAGTACTGAAATGGCCTTTTGAAATATATTTTAGAGCTTCCAATTTCCTCTGCACGTGTCTTTCTCCTGTGATTTTTCTCATTTGATTTTTTCCTTGCTGCTTCTCTATCATTCTCCTATCTAAGCCAGCTCACTTACACATTGAAATGAATTTTTTGTGCAGTGGATAGGAACCTCTTCCCTCTTCCTTGCTGATGTAAAACATCGAACTGAAGAATTAATTGCTTGTTCATGCAGGGGCATCTTTTCCTACTCCTCAAAGCATGATGCTGTTTCTGCATTAAAGCCAATGACTTGGAACCTCTTTTTAATCTTATTGGCACTGGAAAAGGAGTTAACTAAATACAGAGGGGTGTAGGCTTGTGTTAGGGATAACTTCAAGCTCTCACGGGTGGTTTATCTTTATGTTTCTACGTGAATAGTGTTCCCATCCTGAGGATAGCTCTACTGGGTGGACCAATTACACTGACAATTATCAATCACACTGTGGGAGCAGCTCTGAAGTCTCAGTGTAAGGAGCAGGCTACAAGATGCCAAATTTGTTACTCTAACAAGGAGGAAAAGAGACAGAGGAAAGAAGAATGGGAATGAGTTGCTGAGGAGTTTAAAGAATAGCTACTTAATTGTCTCAAAACTATAGTTGTGCTCCAAAGGTTTCATCCCTTGGTCTGTGCAAGTTCAAATACGAAGCCCTGCTTATGGGAAGTTGAGATGAATGAGCAGTTGTTAGTGAAGGATTAATTGCTTTGGAACTCTGAGTCTTTCTAACAGAAGGAATTAGGAGTTGCTTTTTCTTGTATAAGGGATATGAGTGAAGTGCATTGCTAGTGAATTTCTGGCTTTGTTCATCTTGCTTTCTGTACAGCACATCTCATTATCTGCAAAAGCTTTGAGTTGATGATTAGCATCTGCAGCTTTGTTTAAGATAGTTGATCTTTGGTATTATTCTCTAAAGCCCAGTGGTGGTTGTGTTGCTTTTTTTGTCTTGCTGTGGTCACAAGATGAAACTTCCATTGTTTTTTAACAGAGGAGTAAAAATATTTCTACTGAGACACAGAATCTCAATCTTCTGTTGAGAAATAGAAGCACCCAGGAGTTCAGAAGCAGCTCAAACGATACGGCTGCTAAGAAACAACACCATCATTTTGTTTGGATCCTCCACCCACGGCCGCAGGAATGTGTCAGAACAGAAATGCCGCGCGCTGGGGAATCGCATGATCCCTGCTTTGGTTTCTGTTCTGAACCTCTGCAGGAGCAGCTGGGCCGGCTGATGTCCCCACAGCAGCGTGGTACCTGGCACTGTCACTGCTATGGGCACACAGGGGGTGAGGTGCCAGCAGTGGGAGAGGGCTCAGGCACAGCCTGCGGTGCCGCAGCTCCAGACGCGGCGTTGGGAGCGCACCCCTGCTCCTCCAGGAGCAGCAGGAGCTTCGGGCAGCTGTCTGCAGGCCAGGTGCTCCTGATACTCCTCTGGCTTGGGCTGCACATGCCATTTAAACAGTAGGACTTCTTCTAAAAATATCCCATGAAGTTATTTGGGAGGCATTGTTTCTGAAAAGCATGGCACTCAGTCTTTGGGGTTTGGTGTAGAACCACGGGTGCATAGAAAGAGAGGAGAATTTGGCTTCCTCTTCCTCTCTTTTTCTTTCAGTCTGTCTCCCATCTCTCTTTGAGAAGATGAGATTATTGAGCTACAAATGACAAAGCTACTTCAGAATTAAGAGAGTAAGAGGGGTTCTGAGTGTGAATGGGATGAAGAGAAAGCAAGGAGTCTTAACTATGAGGGGTGCAGCAGAATACAGGGATAAAACACTCATGACAGCAGAAGTGGTTGGATATAAGGAACAGAAAAAGCTGGGTAAAGAGAGCAGTTTTGGGGAGGAGTCTTGAATACCAGCCAGCTGGCCAGGTTATGCATCTACTTGTCTGAGGTATTTGTAATGTATTGCATTACCTGCAGATTAAGAGCTCAGTTCAAAAGCCAGTGTGGGAAGAGATCTCCAGGAAGAGGGCAGGTGGTGTAGCTGTATTAAGCCCTTAACCCTTGAAGC